GTGTGTTTTGTTGTGCACACCTGGACGACTTAAAGCTCAGCTCTATTATATTTAAAGTGCAGACATATAAATAAATAAACAATGCAAATGCAATGGCGTTTGTACATCTGCTGCAGCTGCAAAATCCATTCCTGCACTCAGAAAAATAAATACATTTGATATTCATTGCATTAACATTTTAAATCAGTTTGGTTGAATTTCATATTATTTCTTTAAAATACAGACAAAAACTCAAATGAATTAAATGTATATTTCGATTTAATTTGATGAACAACAATTTGAGAGTAATCCCTGACGGCCTCAGAATCTGATTAAATATTTCGTATTTTTCTTTTACTTTGGAAAATTCCTTTGAAAAATGCAGCCAGTGGTTTAAGTCATGGTAGGAGTAGCATTTACAGGGCTCTTAAAGTCTTAAAAACATAATATAACTCTTGAGAATGTGTTCAGTGAAAGCAGTGAAAACGCGAACGTTGAATTGGCTTTGTTTGATTTTTTTACTGAGCGTAAACAATCGTACGTGAAAAATTGCAGGAATTTCAATTATCTTGTTGCTTTGAAGTTTGCCCAAGTATAGTCGAATAATGCACACAACATACAGTATGTAAGCCAATTGATGGCACTTGTGGAATGCACTTATGTCAAATTCGGAATGCGTCCTAAAAATGGATAAAGGACTGCAAGATTGAAACGCTTTGAGTGGTGCTTATGCAGACTGGCAAAAGGAGTAGCAGTACACAAACTAACAAACTTAAATGTAGGCATCGTAAAATTAACTGAACTGCTACCAACTCAATCTGCCCTGTCGTAATTTTCACAGTGGCGCATAAAAGTATGCTGCAGCACCCACACAACTGCCAGCTCAAGTGTAATCAAATTAATATTATGCTCATGCTCCAGCAAATATGGTGAGCTTTGTCTCACGCCCTCACCCTCTCCCTCTAAATTATAAGTCCCATAAAGAAAAGAGTCTACTGTGAATGGCCAGACAGACAACAGACGGAGAGGAGAGAGCAGCCATGGTGAGGGTTGTGGGTGTGGGTGCGGGTGCGGGTGCGGGTGCTAGTGCCTGAGTAGGTCTTAGGCTTAGGTCTTGTGTTTTTGTAATAAGCAAGTATTTATCTCGCGTTGAAAACCTCATCAGGCTTAAGCACTGCGCTTAATTGCGTACAAGGTCCGGTGTCCTTGAGCAGTCTCAGCATGACAGATAGATATGGCTGTTAATTATATATATATGTATATATATATATATGCACATATATAGTTAGTCCAATATGACTTAATTTAGCTACACGCATCTATCAATCTGATGTTGCGGTGGCAGCCGTTTTAAGGCTCACCGAAATGCTTAAGGAATTAAGAGATGCCGCAGAAACCACAAATTATACTTGTCTGAGCAGCTGCTTCAATTAAGCTCAAATAAATGTGCAAATATATTAAATAAATTATCTAACCAAAACCACAGGGTTTTAAGCATGATTTGAATATAGGAAAATCAACTATCAGTTGATTCCACATCAATTTCAACTGTCAGGCATAAATAAACCAAAAATTAACCATAACAACCTGTACTTTATAGATATGGTTCTAGTCTAATGCTGAATTGCATTTTATATATAAAGTAGCTAAAGTATCGTTAAGTTCAATTTAACTGCCAGCTGCTCTTTCTCAACAGAGCAGCAGAAGTGAAATAAAATGTTAAGTTATTTATAGCGAAATACTTTTGCTTGAGTGCTGATAATAGCTCCATTCCCAAATACTTAAAGAACATTTTGCCATATATATAAAACATATGCTATTTGTCAAGCAACTCACGTGCTCGTTATCCATTAATAGTTCATTTATATTTTGGTCAGCATAGCGTGCGAAATTAAGCAGCTGACCTTTAGGCGCGACAGGTGTGAATAAAAGGTGTTACATGCGCTTCTATTTGCGGCAATTAAAGAATGCTCCCTTGTGGCGCCTATTTTTAGACCCATCTGAACTCTGCATGTGTCCAGTTCAGTGCGTTTTTTGTCAAAGCTAGCTTGCCCTGATAATATCTGAAGGATGTCGCCTGCCAACTGTCAGCGCGTGTAGGTTAAATAAATATTTTCCTGCTTTTGACCTTTAGCTTAAATCTTGCTAGCAATTTATTATGACTTGATTTTAGCTTTTTTAATTAATTGAACAGCTGGCGAGGCACCTTTGCCCGCCTTTTAATGCGCTGTCTTAATAGCGTTTTTATGAATTCGAATCTATGAGCATATTAAAAGAGTCTAGGGAAATTTATGGGCACTTGCTGAAGGACGATTAAGACACGGGTCCTGCTAAATTATTGTAGTCTTGCAGACGAATTAGCTGTGCTCTGCAGCTCTGACGAGGTCCTTAGACCTTGGACCTTAGGCTTAAGACTCATTCAGCTTTCTGTTCAGTTTTGTTATTGGCGGCTCGCAGTTCCGCTCGAGTACCGCACAAATGCGTTAGTCTACGCAAACTGTTGAGGTCTAGCCTTTGCCACGTCGTATACGTAATGCCTTACGTTCAACGTAATGAAATGCAGGCGGGGCATCCTTAAAGACCAGAGAGCACCGCAGCTGCGCAATTAAACCAAAACATTGCCCGTTAACTTTCTCTTTATCTCTTAGGTGCGCACTCTCTTTAGGCGACTCTGGAATTGTAATCAGTTGGTTTTGATAGTAGCAGCAGCAGCAGCAGCAGCTGGCGAAAGGGCAATTTTGCGGGCAAGTGGCACATTTTCATACGTGAGCAGGCGTCACCTGAACTCCAAGGTGCAATTAAGATGGTTGCCATTCGAGCTGCCCCCAAGGACCTGAGGTCCTGTCTACGTTCGACTTCGATGCGAGCAACGTGATCTGAAGCAAGGAAAGCAAAAATAATTGAGACGCCCAGATGAATATAATATAATTGGAAGTCTGCAATTGAATCGCAACGTATTCTAATTTCAAATCTTTAATGATGCCCAACATAAACTTGAATTATTAAAGACAAAGATTTGACGACAGAGCATAAATATTTAATGGGTTAGATTTTATGGCACGCAACTATAATCAATTTGGTCGGTCTGGCCGTAAAACAGGTATCAGGCCGAATAATTGGTATTAATTGGGCAATTAAGCAGACGCATGAGTTTTGCTTAGAGCCACCACTAAATACAGTTCCCTGTGCCACATAAAAGACAATCAAAGTGTAGACCTGTCCACAAACAAAACAAGAAAAGGAACGTATAATTCGCACAATTAGCAAAATTAATGCGATGTGGCCGACAAAAGACACAACCTGAGCAAAAGGCAAGTCAAAATTTTGCCCGGATAATAAAATGAGGCATGTCGTGAAAATAACTCATACGCAGCGCATGCCATGAAAACCTAAACTGTAATTAGATGACAGTAAATGGCGACTACACTCAGAAATATATTCGTAACTGAATTGAAAAATATATTTGATAAAAGTATTGACGTATTTTATATTTAAAACATACATTCGTCAATGAAAGTACTTAAATATATATAAATCATTATTGACAAGCAGCAAATATATCTAGGCTAAGTATAACATTATTTTTAGTTAGCTGAAAAATTTAGTTATTCACATTAGAACTAAACTAGTTAAAAATCAAGTTCAGGAATAGGTAGCGAAGTCAAATATAGAAAAAATATGTGAATATTTTAACATTCGAATTAACCTATTTATGATCAGAAATAAGAACTATGATTTGTAATTTTGATATCATTTTCACATAGTTTCTGGTCAAAATGAACCGTTTTTGAGAGTGTACAATCGGGTTCTTATGGTCTTAAGGGAAAGTTTGATGTTTTTGTTTGTTGCTCTGCGAGCAAATTAAATTTGTTTCGCCTGCAATTCATTTGCCGAGTCGTTGACTTTTAATGCACACATCTAAGACATTGTTTTGTTGTTCGCTGTGACTGTTGCTGTTTTCTGTTTGCCTGTTGACTTGTTGCCAGTTTTTACTTGACTTGGCTCAGATATTGCAGCGTCAGATATTACCGGCGGGTTTGTTGACACTGCTAAGCCCCAGCAAATTTCTTTTTAAAAAGAATTTCAGCTTACACATGAGTTGAGGCGAATTTCTTGGGTTTTTGATCTCTGTCGGCAGGTCAACCTCGACGCCAATCATTTCACACATTGTGCATACGCCACATGTCCTTGAACTGAAATGCAGTGAATTTGTCAACAGTGGAAAGTTTTCCGAAATGCAGCTAATGCGCTTTTCGTGTTATTTCACCGTGGGATGCACTCGAATCTGTTGAAGAGCTGTCACTAACCCAAAACGCACCCTGACCAATAGAGAGCAGCGTACAAACTGTTCAATTATTGTGGCGCTCTCAAAAACTACTTAAGCCGCCTGTCCACCCGCAAATCGACCTACATTTCTGACACTGACTATCAATCAGCTTGGAGCGGCACATTTATCACAAGGCTAATCAAACAGAAAGCTTTCTGATGTTCAATTACATAAACACAAACACACACACAACCGCACACACACCTCAAGCGACAAATAAATGCTGGGCAGATTATTTAAACCTCAACAATAGTAAAAAGCCCCAATCAAATTACCTAAGTTATTCAACTGTCTTTAATGTAATTGTATTGACAATATCATTTATTTAAAAACACCTATTGATCTATGTTTTAGAAGTTTAATATTAATTTCTTTTAAATAAATAATGCTAGATTTGTATCATTATTTCTATTATTGAAACTATTATTACTATAGTTTTGTACAATGGCTATGGCAGTTACACCATCTGTGATGGGATTCACATAGAATACACTCAGGCAATGCATCCATAAAATCCTCAAATTTAATTGGTCGCATTGAGTCGAGATGAAATACGCAACTCTTTAGTATCGCTGGACATTATCTTTTCAGTTGAATATAATTCATAGTCATAAAGCTAATTAGTTGAGGTTCAATTCAAATCTAGTCTAGAATTTCTACTCATTTCAATCAGCAAACATACACAGCTCATGTAAAAATATGTAAAAATTTTAATTTAATTTGTGATTGTTACATAATAATAATGATATAATGATAATATGTATAGTAGTTTTGCTTACAACTAAATAATTATTATTTTATATATACAACATACAAATTACAGTAAACGAGTAATACTTAATTAGTGATATTTTGTTTGTCATAGCAGATAACTAATGCCCCGATCTGCCAGAGTAGTTCGTTGAGGAGGTGGTCATCGACTGCATCTCTGTGGTGCGCTTCTGTACATCCATCTTCATGCTGGTTGGACAGATGAGACCCCGCCAGGCATTCCGATTAGCCTCATCGAGCAGCACAAAGTAAACGAAGAGCACAAATCCCTGCATAGTCGCCGTGAGACAGAAGAGATACGAGAAAACAATGCCCGCCTGCATGAAGGCAAAGATGCCAAAGATCCAGGAGAGACCCAGCAAAAAGAAGAGCAGCACCGACAGACGAATCTGTTTGTTGACCAACTTGCGCTCGGCTCGCTGAACACTCTGGCTGAGTGAGTGGGAGATGCTATAGAAGACATAGACGAATATGACCAGGTTGGCAACGGTTATCAGAGTCACAGGTAGGACTACGCCAAAGGTAAGTCCATAGCCAGAGGGATAACAGATGCCTGTGTCCGTCTCCAGCTGCTCAGCTGTGGGCAAATAGGATGCCGGATCGATGCAAGCAGTCAGAAGAGTGGGCAGCAGTGGCAATGTCCAAGCCACAAGGGCCGCCTTGAGGATATAACGACGTGGTCGCTCAATGCCAATCACTGTCACATATCGCTGAAACTGCAGGACGGCAATGATCAGCATCCAGGTGAATAGTACTAGGATTGTATACTGCAGCGAAGCTCCAAGCAGGACACACCGACTGTAATCTCTGTGAACAATCAGTTGCTCCGAGATGTCATCCGTATTGATGAAAACGAATAGAATCATTTGCAGTGTCATCGCTAGACAGAGATGAAGCAGCACCTTGGTGGAGGCCTGACTGCGCCAGCTCTTAAATACGGCTGCAGTTACAAAGATACCCAGCACACCAAGCAGCGAGAGAGAGCAGCCCACGATGGATATGATGTCCAGGACGCGCTCATTGAGTGGGGTAACTAGAATCTCCTCACCCAAATCGTTGCTGCGATAACTTCCACCCACCAGGAACGAGAACTGAGTCAAGTGTCGAGTCTGACAGACGATAACCGGATCCCTTAATATATCCGAACCAGAGCTCGTCGTGATGCCATCACTCAACCAGGTCGTATAGTTCCAGTAGCCACAGCCACTGCCCGTCTTAATGGCAAGTGCATCTGGTTGCCGATGATTCTCGTTGAGCAGAAGAAGGGGCATCGCTTGAGGCAAATATTCCCCTGAAAATTAACGAGAATTAAGTATGATTCATTCAGATATACATGTGTCGACTAACTCACCCTCAAATCCCGGAATAGTTATGGATAACACTTTGCTGCGTGGGCGTCGACTGCGTACTTGAGAAGTCTCCACAAAGAGTCCGTCATGGGCGTAGACCTTGAGTATTAAATAAGTGGCGCCTCTCTCTTTGAGCTGGCGCCACAGTTGCTCTGGCACATAGGTAGCAGTCTCCAGATTGGACTCCCGCCTTAGTTTCTCCAAGTTCTCATTGGCATACAGAAAACGATAGTAAAACCCGCTAACAGAAGTTTTCCGATCTGAGCTGGCTGATGAATATATGGCTATGCCAGTTATATCATCACAAGAGGGATTCACATAGAATACACTCAGATTGCTGCTCATCAAAGCCTGCACACCAATGTTCGCATAGTTGAGGATTTCCACACCGTTTTCAGTTGAATCACTTGCATCACTTGTGGGGCGAATAACTGCTTTGCCACAACTTTCACTGGGCACAAACTGTTCAGGCATTGCATCCATATAATCCTCAAATTTACTCAGCAGTGAATTGGTCGCATTGAGTTGAGATGAGATTCGCAACATCTGGATATCGCAGGACATGATCTCGCGACAAACGCTGATCAAATCGGAGCCCACTGCTGCATCCCTTTTCTGCTCCATCAGCTCACCGATTACCTGACCAGCCACATGGACATCAGCTGGCAGCATAGCTCTATTGTGCTGTCTGAGAATACCGCTCATGGCAGCCGTCGTCCGTCGTCGTTCCTGGGTGGTGTTTGTGAGCCTTCTCCCGTCTATGATGTCATCATGGAGAGCGTTCAGCTCCACGCTGACAGAGCGCTCTCTAAATCTCCGCATGCAGACAACTGGCTGCCAGTCGTCAATGGATTCCCATTGGGCACGCATAGATTTCATCTCACACTTTCTGGTCACTGGCAGACCATTCCGCAGGAGGCACACATCGTGCAGCGTGGAACGTTCTCCAATCCTTGCCCGCTTCCAACTGTTGGCGTGCGGACTCTGATCATGATTCCGTATTAGATAGTCATGGCGAAACGCCTCCGGCTCGCAGTGGAGTGCATCGCAGTAGGCGAGGCCAGTTAAATCCGCGATGGACTGCTGCAGCCCACATTCCACTGGGGTATTATTTCTCCATTGCACGTTGCATAGCAATTGCTTATTTGGACAGTTTTTCAGTGCTTCGTCAATGGATTCATCACTGTCACCATAGTCATGGAAATTCGCCGCTGTAATCCGTGTGGTCGTTGTCAATGCCAATAGAGTTACGGCTAGTACGAAATTCATAATCAATGACTCAGAGTGAAGTGAAAATTGTAGTCGCAATAAATGAATTTGTCACGCGTCCGACTCTCTTGGAGTATCACGTTCAACTGCCAAGCAGAGACACTCAATGAGTTGTCGATCGCTTTTTTCTGTTATCAATTAGAAATGGCCAGCAACGAACGCTTATCGAGTCTTTTTTTCTTTCTTCTACGCTCTGGGCACGCAAACAGTTTTGAGCATTACTAATTCTACAAAATTCGCCGGCACCTTACTCATATTATCTGGTAGCGATAATATTCGGTGCGAACTTCAAACGTATTCGTGTTGTTTTGTTTGATTTGTCATTAGCACAAAAGTGTATGAAAGAGTTAGAAGGGAGGGTGGAATACCTTGGGAATGGCAAACTTATGACGCCAAAGGTTGTTTATGTTTAATCAAGCCACTCAAACTGCACATTCCAAACATCTTCTACTCTTTTACTTAGTATAATAGATAGGTTATTCATTGGTTTTATTTAAAAATCATTTCATATATCTATATATATCTGTACGTATATTTTCATGAATGTGAACAATATTCTTTTACGTCATCTATGCATAATAAAAACCACAAAACTTATCATTCACAAGTTCTGGCTAATTTTCGCTTCAATAATTAATGTTTACTGTATGTGTGACACAGAGTGACTTATAGACTTATCGGCTGCAAAACGTATAGTTTTCAAACTATTTAATATGTGGCTTGAAGCTAGATTGATTGAGCCCATTTCAGCTTATGTAAGTTTTGTAGTTAAGATAGTTTGCAAGCTTCTAACTTTTACAGCTTTTCGACATAAGGGCAAGTTTTTGGGTGAACTTTAAAGTTCCGTTGTTAACAAAACTCAACCAATCAATGGCGTATTTTTAACATGATAATTATCATCTTACAAAAATGACATTTTTGCATTTTTGTTAGACAAGAAAAACCACTTTCAGGCGCAGACGTTAAGCTTTATAGGGACAACAGTCGCTTAATAATCTTTATAGCTTCGCTTCGCTCCACGACACGTCTGGCTCAAGGACGTAAAAGCTGCGTGGGCTTTCAGAGTTTTCTATTTGAGCAACTTGTTAACTTGTTGACACGTTTTCAATTATCTAAAGAATTCGCATACTATATTCTATCACCATAAGTATTATAATATATGCTGAGTATGAATTTGATTGAGCTGCACACACAACGCACACAATCACGCATTCATACATAAATACATTTGGGTGCATGTGTGTGTCTGCTTTCAATCAAAAGTGTCATATTCATAACTCGACATTTTCATTTTCACTTTTTCTTTATAGCTTTATTGCCGAAGCAGAGCAGAGAAAAGTGCCACGTGGCAGACGTGCAAAAGCGATTTATACAATTTTCTTTAGCGTCAGCCACTAAAAATGTATTCAACATAATATCGAATATGCATAGGAATGAAAAGGGTTTTTAGTATTCCCGACAAAGCAATATATTCAAAAAAATTGCCACAGTAAAGTCAATTTTTAAGATTAAACATACTTATTATTATTATATAGGAGAATTTTTAAGCTATGATAATAATATAACATCACGGAAAACTCAAATAACTTTCACCAGAAACCACTTTTAATAAATACAAACAAAAAAAAAAGGAAAAAAATTGGTAGTAAATCTTAAATTGTCATATAATAATATAAGCTTTACAAATAGGAATTTACATACAATACAAGTTTTATTTAATTTTATTAGGCAATGTTGATATTGAAATACGGACGTGTTCAAATTTCTAAGCACCATCGCCAAGTCTAAATAGATTTGAATATAAATGGTTTGATACCAACTTGAATACAATAGAATAGCTCATGAATTTTCAATTTTGTTGTCGTTTTGAGACTTTTTTATTCCTTCAAAAATTTTTAAACAATTTCAACTTAACTTGAAAACATTAACTTGTAGCTGTAATTATGTAATTATGCTGAAAAATTCGAGTCTGTGAGCCTCTTTTAACTTTTAAGAGGGTGAAGAAAAGTTCAGTTCCCGTTGAAAAGGAAATCATATTAATTCCAAGAAAAGAAACCAATATTACCCTAATGACGTTTGTTCTTTTATCTATTTAAAAAGCAAAAACATTTTCTGATTACTTATTTATATTCCGAAATTAGAATTCTTAAATTATTCATTAATGCACAGCCGCAAGCCAAGTGCCAATTAGTGGGCTGCAACAATATCCACAAATGCCGGGTGCAAACCCATTGAGTAAACAAACTGCCACTGTTTCCTGTTCAGTGGCAAGAAACACGAGCGAAAGAGCCAAGAGGACAACAAGAAACAAGTTGGCAGCGAGCTGCTAACAAACTCTCTGCTCATTTTGACTGCTCAAACAAGTTAACGCTGTGCGGCCAAGCAAATCACTCAACAGAACCTCTGCCAGTTGCAAACTCCGGAAATGGGTGTGGGGGATCGGAGGAGGTTGTATAGTTGGTATTTGGTCGACCGCCAGTGAATGTAAAAATGTCCCAGTGCATTGTTGCAACAAGGCCCCTTCACCGGCAACCTTACCAGCCCCTTGAAAGGGTTAAATGCTTTGCTGGATGCCGGACTAAATGTGATTAGGGTTGACTCTCAGTAAGTAGTACAGCACCATACCCATCAGATCAACCAGTGCCTGTAACAATCTACACCCAAGCAAAAAAAAAAGAAGAAAAACAGAAAGAATAAAACCAGAAAGGTTAAATGTAGCACAGGTTGGTGTTTGCTAAGGTCGACTGAGATTTAACTGTCATTTCCAGGCAATGATCCATATCGATATTTAAGCGCTTTTAACGACCAGCAAGCACAGGCCATTTATATTTATATTAGGCTCACACACACACACACACATGTGCACACACATTCACATACCCAAACACATAATATTTGCTCAATAAAAATTGGAAAGTTGCGTCGACTTTTAAGCACTTAAACGCCTCGACGCCCATTAAGATGTTATGGTTCTGCTCTGCGTGCAAAATGGGCAAAAAAAAAAAAATAAATAAAAATGTGCGTGTGTCTTTCAAACAGCGATTGACAAAGAGAAACAGACACACACTCACACACAAGCACACACACTTGGGGATGAGTACCTGATAAAAAAGAAAAAAAAAAAGAAAAAAAAAATGGAAGTCTGCTTCTTAATTTTGCTATACACCAAGGTATTCTTTCATTTCGCTTTTATCCACTTAGCCGCCAAGCAGCGGCTTACGCGTAAAAACCACACAAAAACCACACGTCAGCAGCCACAATTTCCATCTTCTGCTTTGCTGATATCCACTCGTCGCTCTTCTCTCTGTCAATTGCAGCTAAGAACTTTGGCCCCCGAAGTTAAATTGAATTCTTTGGCTGGCATCGTTTTAGGTGGTTTTCGTTTTTCACCAGCCAACAGGTAACTGGAATTTAATGAAATTAGGCATCATGCCCGCAAAAAAAGCAGCTGCTTGTCTACATTTTGTACATGTTCCACTTACAGGGTTATGCATAAGTAAGCAGCTAAGCCAGCCCCGGAGCAAATGTTTTTAGAGTCTGCAACTCAGTATTTACGTGTCTTTTTATCAGATTGGTGATTTGTTTGTGCTTTTCACTGGTATTTTTTTCATAGGCAAAGAGAAATTTACTTGTTATTCTTGTTATTTTGATAAAGATTTGCAATTTAATTTAAATCTACATAATTTGCAGCACACAGATTTCAACAGACTTTTTCGATTATTATAATTAGTTTTTGTTGATATAAGTTGTGGGTTTATTGATTTATAGAGTTGCTTGTATTTCATTACAAGCGTATTACATATTATTATTATAAAACATATTTTGATTTTTAAGATTTTTAAATAAAAATTATTTAGCAATTATTTAGTTTGACTTATTTCATAATAGATTATTTGAAGCCTTGAGTTTTTAAGATACACCTCATTTAGCATTCATTTTGTCAATTTTCTAAGTTTTAAGGTTAAATGTATAATAAAAATAATGGAAAGTGTTCTAGTACATAAAAAATAAATTAAGAATTTGTATCTACATAATTGTATTTTCAATTGCTTCTAATTTGCCGCTCTTCTCTCACTATCTCTCCCTCCGCTTCTCTCCCTCCTATTCCCTCTACTACGCGGCACCCTGTATATGTTCATTTGGTTTTTTACAATTTTTAGCTGCCTTAATTTCACACAATTTGAATGGCAACAGACATTATTTACGCACACGCAACGCGAACTTTGACACAGCGGCAACAAACAGGAGCAGCCGAAGGGGCAAGAAGTGGCTGGGACAGAAGAGGGCGCCATAGGTGGCATGAAAAACTCAAAATACACATGTGGCCAGTCAGTCTGCGCTGTTTTTGAATATCAATGTATGCATGTGTGTATGTGTGGGTGCTTGTTTTTGGTAGAGTTACGCTAACTTTCTACAGTTTAATTTAATTAGAGAGTCTGTCGACTCTGGCTCTGCATCTAATTTCATTTGAAAAAAGAGGCCCGGACCGAAGTCGGAGGCGAGTCGACCCGGTTAGTGACATATGATGCTGTTTGCATAAAGTCTAAACTGGATTAGCTGGCTTCTGATATCTGCAGCTGCAGCATTTGCATACCGAGTTGATTTATAAGATTCTCAGCATACATTTGGATTCAACTTTTCATCAAGATGGAAATTCTTTCTCATTTTAAAACTGACTCGTTTTATCTTTAAAACACAAGAGTTGATTGAAATGGTTTGTGAAATTTAATTAATTTTGTTCACATATCATACTCAACATGCTGCTGAGAGCCCAATAAGTAAGTTTTCAATTTGAAATTCACTTATGCGGTCTTCCTGTTACAATTTCTAAACAAACTTCTTAAGAGACAACATCTTTGCTGCAGAAACCATTTCTATTGAAAAAGCACTTAGTCGAAGACAGAACGAATTTAACATAGATATGTTGCAGTTTAGGTTGATAAGTTAAATCCCCCGTTGGCGGAAATGGGGGAATGCCTTGTCTAATGGCTAAATAAAAGCCAGAGCATGGTAGAATTTATCTGTTCTGAGGACTGCACTTGCATTTCGTAGCTTGTTTAACGACTCCAAAATAAGTAAAACAAGCTA